CTAAAGCAGGCATAAACAGCCTTATTAGATCTATGCTATGTATTTCCACAGAGAAGAAACCTCCGAACTTTTAAACTAGGATAGGTTATCTAATCTTTTTACACCTTGGTTGTGATAAAGGAAGAAAAATATATGATCTTGGCGGCAAAAGGAAGACTGAATTTAATTACAAAGATTTAAATGCAGAAAAATGCATACAGTGGCTTTTTAGAAAAAGAACACTTTCTTCCTTTCATCTCGAGGCAAACCATTTATCTACCAAGAAGCATGAATAGTGTGTTCTTTCTAAAATGTTTTTAGAAGTCATATCCTTTTTTACTGAAGGAACCTGGAGTCTTGGACTTAATCTTGTAATCTGAAAGTCTTTCTAATATATCTGTGTAATCTGAACTGTTGACTACTATTCAAAGCCATTATAGGAACTAAATAGCTAGATCAATTCGTAAACCATTTTCTCAAATGAAAACCTCACAATGAAATGATACTTTTGACAGAACATTTATGAATTACACCAATTTTTCTAAATCCTTTTGGAGGAGAAACATTTTAAGTGATGGAATAAAGATGAACAAAGTTACATTATTCTTTTACCATGTTAACCGGTCTAGTGCACATTACCTCAGAGCAAAAACTTACAATGCATAATCAACAAGCTGAGTGATGCATCAGTGAAAATGATTAAATATGCCAAGGTCTTAATTATAATACATTACATTTGTACAGAATATTCCAGTTTGCAAAACACTTACATCCATAAACTCATTTGACTCTATGTCCTTCAGTTTAAGTACAATAGATAGAAGATGTGAGTCTACCTGGATATACTGAAATAGTTAAAAGCAGGGACTCTGGAGCCAACTGTCTGGTTTGGGCTCTTAGTGCTGCCACTTACAATTACAAAATGTGATTCTGAGTACATTACTCAACATCTTTATGCCTTAGTTTTATCATCTGTAAAATGGGGATAATAATCGTTTCTACCTCTTGGGCCCACTAATGATTAAATCAATTAATATATGTCAAGCACTTAATACAGTATCTAGCACAGAGGAACCATTATATATTATACATGCTGGTTGTACTTATCAGCAGCTGTATGGATAGGGAAACAAGCTGGTAAGTCACAGAGCCAGGAACAGAAACCAGAGCTTCTTCTCCCATCTGATGCTCCATCCACAAAGGGCTGGGGTTCTTTTTCTGTTTGTTTTTTTGAAGTATCCTAAGGTTTTCTAGACTGACATAAAATAGTTTAATGCGGAAGTGTACAAATCAAAAAATTCAACAGTTCAGAATACTTATAAAGTATTTTAATTTATATATACATTTTAAGTTAAATTGATTATTAAAAATACAAATATTCCATTTTGGCAGCAGAACTATATACTGAGGAATAGTCATCTGTGTTGCTATATTTGCAAAATAAAACTCAAATCTAGATGGAAATATACTAAGATGATAACTGTGTTAGAATTTCCTTTCTTTTTTTTTCCCTTTCTGGTTTTCAAGACATTCAGTATTGTGATATAACATTCATAATTAAAAAAAATTATTTCCAGGGACTTCCCTGATGGCGCAGTGGTTAAGAATCTGTCTGCCAACACAGGGGACACGGGTTCGAGCCCTGGTCCGGGAAGATCCCACATGCCACGTAGCAACTAAGACCGTGCACCACAACTATTGAGCCTGCACTCTAGAGCCTGCGAGTCACGACTACTTAAGCCCATGCGCCTAGAGCCCATGCTCCACAACAAGAGAAGCCACCACAATGAGAAGGCCACGTGCCCAACAAAGAGTAGCCCCCGCTCGCCGCAACTAGAGAAAGCCCACGCGCAGCAATGAAGACCCAATGCAGCCAAAAATTAATTAATTAATTTGAAAAATGATTTCCAAAAAAAGTTTACCAAGGTATGAAAATAGTATTCATAGAATAAACACTTCAAAATTAATTCTAGAAAATAATAAATGTCCAGCTGAAAAACTGCCCTCTTTTTTCAGACATGTTTTAAGGGATCTTTCCTCAGACTTTGTTCAAATTTTTTCCCTTTAGTGATTCAGGTGACTGTGACAACATCTTCCATTGTGTCTAAAAATAGGGCATGGGTGTGTAAATTTATGAGCCGAAATGCAAAACTGGCATTGGATGTCTAAATCAGAGTATTAAATCATTTAGCATACTCTAGCATAAAAATATATTCTGAGCACTCATATCCACATGCTTTGTATATTCATACAATTTTAATTCAACTATCTTTAATCTTTTCAGACGAAGTGAAGTTATGAACTTTTAAAAACATGCCAAATCACTTAAGATATTAACCTGGACAAAGCACTCCACTCCAAACCTCAAGCTCCTTCTCTAATAAGGAGAGTAGACTAGAATGTCAGTCAGTGGTTTACAACCTTCTTTCCACCCCAGAGCATCTGTGGGATTCAACATCTCTCCATTTACAGCAGTGGGGACAGTCTGAAAGTGTCCCACAGGTGATTCTGATACACTACCTTATAACAGGAGTCCCCAGCCCCCAGGGGCGGACTGGATACTGGTCCATGGCCTGTTAGGAACCGGGCTGCACAGCAGGAGGTGAGCAGTGGGCCAGCGAGCGAAGCTTCATCTGCGGCTCCCCATCGCTCGCATTACAGCCTGAACCATCCCCCCCATCGCTCGCATTACCACCCCCCATAGAAAAACTGTCTTCCACAAAACCGGTCCCTGGTGCCAAAAAGGTTGGGGACCACTGTCTGTAAGCTATTCCCCTGCCCTCCACCCCACTCCACTCCTGCAGAGTTCTTTAAGGTTCTGCACAGTTCTAAAGCTTGCCACTGTAGGTACACGAAAATCACAACCCAATGACCTGGAAGGTACCTGACAGTGTTACTTTATTACATTTTAAAAGAAAGGCCGAAAGTTAATTATGCGTATTCTTTTGTTGAAGCACGCAAGATTCAAAAAGAATCTGTAAACTGATGATATCAAAGACAGCTTTTAACTTAACTGTTCATATGGCAAACAGCACAGCTCCCCTGGAATTTGCTTCTAGTCAAGGAGGTAGGTAAAGAAAAAGGAAAAGTGGGGAATCAAATAAAATGCCTCCTGAAGTTGAAAGAATGGCTGGAAAAGAGATTTGTACAAGTTAACTTTTCTGATAACAGAGAAGAAAAGCCAAAGACTGATATGCAGAGAAGAGATATTATGTGATCCCAAATTTTTCTTTTTTTTTCACAGACAACTCTGTTATAAACTAATAATAACCAATAGCTACTAAAAATATGATTTTCATATATGCCATATTATAAATATAAGCCAAATATATTGGCTTAGCATGGTGATTGATAATTGCCCAGTATATCTACAAATAGTGTCGATTTTCTTTGAATGCTTACTTACTGTGGACAAATTCTACGGTATTTAAAAGCTACTGGATGTGCGAAGTCTTGTGAAAAATTCTCACAACTAGGGAAGAAGGAAATGGAATCTTAAGACTTCCTTGCAAAAATGTGTTTACCTCAAATGTGAGCCAACATTACATCATCATTAATAAGTACACAAGACATGGCAAAGATGCTGAGTGTGGCTTCAAAATTAGTATTTTCTACATGAAAAAAATGTGTAATTGCATTATCTTCAAATCAGAAAACACATTAATCAATAAATGCTGATGATTAGCTATGTGTATTGTAGTGAGAGGAACCTTAAAAGGCACAAAAAAATAACAGTATTTCACAGATTTAGTATTTGACCTCTCCCCCACCCCCGGCAAACCGGCTGGGTCTGAAAGTTGCTGTCCTCTGTACCAGAAGATGACACCAAGGGTAACTGAGAATACAATGTATACATCTCTATCACTGCTCTGTGAATTCATGCCTGAAAAAGTTGACACAAATTTTTGGTAGGATTTCTTTTGAAATTCTTTGCAAAACATGCTGTCCACTGTTGGCTTAACTTGCTGAACGCACTACCCATTAAAAAAAACAAATTCTCAGTGTTCTCCACATGAACCATAACAGTAAAAACCTAAAACTTGTGTCAGTGAACAGACGTGATAACCCAAAAAGAAATAAAAGTGAAGAGAAAGAAAATGCCCCAACCTCAGTTTTGTAAGATGTTCACATTAGAGACTGTAGCAATAAACATTATGCAAGAGAAGATAATTCCTAACACTGAGTTGGGATGGATAAATATTTGTTTAATGAACATACACATTTCTTCCTCATTCTATAGCCATGTGTCAAAGCATCAAACAATTTAATTTGTGGCAGTTTCTGTTGTGTCACAAACTTTACATATAAGTTTATCACAAGGGGGAAAAAAACCTGCTTGGCTTGACTCACGATGAATCACAGCCAAGAGGTCATCTTGTTGTGTATCAGCAACTATGTTTTCACTACAGCTATGTGACCTAAAGTGGCAGCAGGAGAGGCACCAAAATAGAAGAGGCAGGAGGTTTCTCCTGGTTTCTCGGCCCCAAAAGAGCTTTTCCACCCCATTCGGGCATCTGAGCAACAGCCAACCGCAGAGGAGAGAAAGAACAAACCCAACAGCTCCGCGGAGGAAGGCTGCAGGCCCAGGCCCTCCCGGGAGCCCGGGGAGGCAAGCACATAAAGAGGACGGGCTTAAGAAACAGCGTGGAGAAAGCAGCATGACAAGGGCCAAAACTAGCCGGTGTAGGGCAAAATCCAGCAGTGACCGAGCAGCACAGACTGCGGGAAGGTCTGGAGACCAAGGAGGCTCTCCAGCCCGGGCTCGGGGCTCAGCTCCGGCGCGAGCGCACAGCGGGCCCCCTGCCTCCAACAAACCTCCAGCACACGGGACCTACCGCTGCTCCCACCTCACCTGTCGGGTGCCCGCTGGCCCCGCCGGCGTCTCTGGCCCCCGGTCCCCGCCCCGGCCCATCCTCCCTTGACGTTCCCTCGCGGCGCGTCTCTAGGGGCCACCGCCGGGGTCAGCGTGGGCAGGGGGCCGAAGCCCGCCCCGCCGCCCCAGGCCTGGCCCCGGCACTCACTTTCTGAATCCGCTTCAGCGCCATGGGTCAGGGAGGGCGGCTGGGATACCGGCCGGCTGGGGTCGGCTGCGGGGCTCGGGGGCGTGGGGTCGTCGCGGGCCCGGCTCGCCGGCTCCTCGGCTGGCTCAGCCGGGTGAATCCCCAGCTCGCCGCTCTCTGGCTCGCTCTGGGTGCCGATGCCTGTTCCTAGTGCGCCCGAGCGCGAGTGTGCGCGAGTATGCGGGCGGGGACGCCGGCGAGACTCTTTTGTTTCCGCTTTTGCTTCTGGGAAGGAGCCTGCGCCCGCCCCGCCCCGCCAGGCACACTGGGAAGTGTAGTTTCTGCGCCCTGCTCGGCCGCCGCCCCGGGCCGGGCTGGTTACTCACCGCTGACCTCGACCCACAGCGTGGGCTCAGAGCTGCCGGCTCTGGAGTTGGTCCCTGCAATTGGATTTTGATCAAGGTACTGAACCTGGAGTTCCCAATCTGTAAAATGAGGATAACAAATTAGCTCGAAAAACATGTACCGGATTCGAATATGTGCTACAGCTCGTCTTGTTATTTTTACCTTTACAGATTTCACTGTTCTCAAATATATGAATTGCCTAAATTTCTCACACATGCACAGACTCATTCCAGTTATGACGCCTTACTTACCTCCTTAGTTTCTGTTTCAAAAGGCGCCTCTTCTGTCCGACGCTAATCTCGCATGCCTGCTCCTCCTTGGAACTGTGAATTCTGAGCTTCGTCCTCACTCTTGTCTCCTTTTCCGTTGGCAGTACAATGCCTGCTCAATCCACATAGTCTGCTCGCACTCCTCACTCCCCCAATTTTTATGAACTTGTGTGCTCATTAAAACTTGCCTTCTGCTTTCAGCAGCAGAATTCGGTTTTCACCAAAGTTGAGCCTGAGCTTCTAATTCCCGAATCCAATTCACTCCTTTTCCTCTGTGATGTTTTTGACCCATTTGATTGCTGGCTACCCTTTCGCTTTTCAAAACGCTCACCGCCTCCCGCTTCCGGAGCACCAGGGTGGTTGGCTCTTCTACTTCTCTGACTTACTCTTTTCTGTTACCAGCTCCTCTTCTCAAGAGTTAGAGTGCCCTGGAGTTCCAATCCCTGATCTCTCACCATCACTATCTTCCTAGAAAGTAGACTTCGTGTCCTCCCATGTCCTGGGAGGCCACCCAGCATGGCTGGAGGAGCTTGGGCTTCGTAGATTGACCCCCTATCCTGGAGTGGAATCCCAACTCTGACCTCTACCACTGTGTGACCGTGTAGCTACATAAACTCTCTAAGCCTCAGTTTCCTCATGTCCAAAGCGATAATAATCTCTAGATATGTTATTGTAAGAATTCACTGATATTAATGTAATGTGCCAAACACAGTACCTAATATGCTGAAAGTGCTGTATTACAATTATTTCCTTATTTGTTTTTATCTATATGATGATGCCTTTAAAATCTGTCTTTCCAACCAAACTGTCACCCCAGTTTCAGCCTTTTATGTCCAAAAGTCTACTGGACATGTGCAACTTCCTCCCCTGTGGCCAGGAATCAGAATGTGTTACCAGGTGAGGGCTGAAGGGAAAGCTTTTCAGGAAGTCCAGAACAATAGCTACCATAGCATTCTAAAGGCTTACAAAGAGCAAGGAGCAAAAATCCATTCATGTAACTTAAAAGAAAATGTCTAGGGAAATAGGATCGTGAAAGAATGGTAGAAATAATTAATGGAATCTGAAACTTAATTTAGAAGCCTGTCATTCCCCCTCCCTGCCCTCCCACCCAAAATAAACAAAAACTAAAACTGGTCTGGAGCCTGGCTACTCTCTTACTTTCCTTTCCCTGAGGTCTCGCTTCTCTCTGCACGCTGGCCTGCCCTCCTTTTTCCAGCTCCCGCCTTAACTTCTCTTGTACAAGGCATGAGCTCCCACCACCCTTAGCCCACTTTTTGACACTCTTCAGGCAACTGCTCCTGCTGCTAAATGGCCAGGCCTTTTGGTACTCCCTATTTACCTCCCTAAAAGGAAGAATTCCATTGACACAACTCATCTTTTTACTCCAGGCTATACATTTTCAGCTAGTGAGCAAAGTATATGTAGATTGACTTGGGTTAGTTGGCCACCCATGGTCAAATCAGCTGTGGGAAGTTTGAAGTACTGTGGGGCAAAGAGGTTTCTGAAACACACCAGCAAAGTCATATCATCCTGTAGAGAGGTGTATTGGGGCCAGCTTGATGCACCATCTTTGTGCTCCAGAAAGTGGGGCCCTACCCCAAACATTGCTCTTCCTTTTTATAGGGCAAGCATGAGAGTGTCCTTGTAAATAGGGGAGAAATAGTCTGAGCTTGGGCATCAGCTGCTTTGGGGAGTTGCATTCCCAAGCTGATAGCATTTGGATAGTATCATGTAGGAAGTGAGGCCATGCTTAGCTGCTCCCACTACAGGGAAGCACTAGTTGCAGGTAGCTCATTACCAGGAAGCCCAGAAAAAAACCTCCAGGGTCATTAAGTGGACAGTCCTGATAGGACAGTCCATCATCACTCCGTAGATAACAAAAACACACACTTAACGCAGAGGCTACAATCAGGGCAATTTCATTCAAAAGGCCCGGACACTGGCATTAATTTCTCCCTCTTCCAGGTTATCCTACATACTCCTAGAAGACGCAGTAGTCAAATCACTCCATTGCTTAAAAACCTCTATTGGTTTGTATCATGGAAGTCCAATGCCTCAGCTTACTGCAAAATACCCATCCCAATTTGTCCCTAAATGCCTCCTTTCCGACTTTAGCTCACACATTATAGTTAATTAATGTCACGTGTCTTTGCACAATGCATTCTCTCTGCATAGAACGACCTCCCACCCTGCACCTGACAAACCCAACTCAAATGATACAGACTTTGTGGGAGGGATTGCGCTTCTTTCAGAAACTCATATTTGAGGATATGGAGCAGCCATTCTCAGCACTTGGAATACAGAATGGTCGCTGGATGATGTTAATCAGGAAAAAGAATGGTCCGGGGAAGAAGTTCAATTAAGTAATTAAGACATTTGGAGAAGTCTGGAGAGGTTCGCTGACCAAGTAAAAGAGGTGACTGAAGAGCTTCTTGGGACTAGGTGGAGTGTGCTGAGTCTTTGACAGACTCAAAGCAACCATCTGGGCAGTTTATGAAGACCCTGGAGAAACTGACACACTGATCTGGCCAGAAATTTTCAGAGTAGAGTGAAAAGGAAGGGTTCGATGAAAAGATTCAGGCATTCCTGGTGAGTGTGGCATGATGGAGCAGGGCATGTGTCAGGACTCTGGAGTCTGTAGTCGCTGAACTTGGCCCTGGCTGAGTGAGGTGAGCAGAGAGGCCACCCTGCTAGGAATACCGTCACCAGCTCTGCTCTCTCTGGAACAGAAGTTACCTGTTTCTCAGGTACTGCTGGGAACAGTCACTGATAGCCAGTTTTGCTTCTCTTCCACCTGTTCTCTATATAAACATGTTTGTCTTTGCAACTATAAGAGCTCCTTTTGGTTTTCTCTCTGTGCCTCTTTGTGGCTGTGCTGTCAAAAGCCTTCGTAGAGGGCCTCCCCACTCAAATGCTCCCAGTTCTTTTGAGCTGTGGGTGCTTTTTGGGGCTGATGAGAGCTCTCATTTGTCCTGGGACAGTTCTGAGCATATAGGCCACCATGGTCTTCAGATACAGGAGGGCCTTTTCCCCTTTGATTCTACTGTCCCATAACTGTAAAACCAGAATCACCAGGGGTCAAAACCCAGTCAGGAGAGTTGGGACGGCTCAGAACACGTGTTTGGCACACATGTAGTTCAAGCATTCTTCCTTTTAAAGTATTTCCAGAATAGCTGTCTGGCTTGTTGGCTCACAGATTCTAACCTTACCCCCTCCCCCACTAACTCTGTCCAGCTACCCGCCGGAAGATTCAAGGGGACCATTCCCAGGCTGGGGCCTGTGTGTGAAGCATGAATTTCCTTGTCCCCAAGGAAATCTCCATAGGGTTAGAACCCAGTGTTGAGGTAGCTTCTGCTTGAAACTAGGCCAGAACCATGGTTTAAGAAGGGCACAGAGCAGACAGCCTCAAAGGTTGTGCAACCAACCATAAACTTTTCAGGAGGTACTTCCCTTAAGGGCGTTTTCTGTTATGTGTATCCTTCTAGGGCCTACATTTCCTTCAAAAGTGTTTCTGTCTATTTTGTAGCCTATTTTTTAAACGGTTAATTAAAACCAATTTCGAGCACTGAACAGCAAGCAGAATGTTTGAACATTTTTTGGTTTCTGTTTGTTTGATGAGGTATGAGAAGGAAACGCCTTCTGTGGTTCCAGTCATAATCTATTTTAATAAAGTTTTGAGCAGCCCTGGTGTATTAGGTAGGACTCTCCAGAGAAACAGAACCAATAGGGTATACAGTACATAGATATGTAGGAGGAGATTATTATGAGGATTGGCTTACATGGTTACGGAGGCTGAAATATGCCATGATATGGCGCCTGCAAGCTGGAGAACCAGGAAAGCCCGTGGTGACATTCAGTCCAAGTCCGAAGGTCTGAAAACTAGGGAAGCCTATGATGTAACTTCCAGTCTGAGGCCAAAGGCCTGAGAAAGAGGAGGGAAAGAGGGGGATGCTGGTGTAAGTCCTGGAGTCTCAAGGCCCCCAAACCCGGGGCTCCTGTGTCCTCCTATGTGCAAGGGCAGGAGAAAATGGATATCCAAGCTCGAGAAGAGAGGGAGAGAATTTGCCCTTCCCCAGCCTTTTCGTTCTATTTGGGCCCTCAACGGATTGGATGACACCCGCCCACATTGGGGAGGGTGGATCTTCTTTACTCAGTCTAGTGGTCACTGCCACACACACACCCAGCTATCTGGGCCTCCATTAGCCCAGTCAAGTGGACACCTAAAATTAACCACATCTGGGTAGCTAGAACTCTTCTTAAACAGAGCAACTGAGTCATCTCATTCTTTAGCACAGTGCCCAGCAGACGTCCAGTCTGAGGCAGAGTGGTGTTTCACTGAAGTCCCAGAAGTTTGGACTGGGATTGTGGAAGGTAGGACAAGAAGGGGGTGAGGGCAGATGAGTGGTTGAGGCTCTAGGCCTGGCGCCTCTCACCCCCAAAAGTAATTGGAGCAGTTCAGTATGTATCTGTTTTTCTAAACTGTCTTGAGTGGACTTGGGTAAGTTTCCTCATATAAAAGTTGGTTTAATAACACCTACCTCATATAATGAAATGAGGTAATGCACTGAT